TGCTCCCCGGCGTTTCCTCACCCAACTTCTTGCGCCACGCAGCTGAGGGCAGCGTGGTGAGGAAGTGAGGAAATGGCCATTTCCTCGGTGACCGGGGCCCGGTGGGACCACGAAACCGAGCGGTCCGAGGTGCTTGCACCGCACGTTCTCCTTGAGGAACATCAAACCGGGCTGGTCTTGGAGGTGCTCCCTCCCCTCCGTGGGAGGAGAGGACCGTTGGATGGAGGGAGAGGTTGATGATGATGGACGTAAGGAAAAGATATTTGGTAATGAGAGTGGTGAGATGATGATGATGATGATGGTGGTGGGCATAAAAATGTTTTTTGATGAGGGGTGGTGAGATGCTGGAAGAGGTTGCCCGGAGGAGTTGTGGATGCCCCCATCTTCAACGTTAGGTTGGATGGGACTTGGAGGAACGTGATCTCCTAGGAATGTAGAAAGTGGAATCCAGTGGAAAATGTCTAGAGCTAGTGGATGGTGTCCTTGCCCAAGGTGGGAGGTTGGACTGGATGATCTCTGAAGGTCCCTTCCAACCCACACCCTTCTACTACTCTGCACCCAATCTAGTGGAAGATGGCTTTGAGGAACTTGAGCTAGTGGAAGATGTCCTCGCCCATGACAAGGTGTTGGACTTAAATGGTCTTTGAAGGTCCCTTCCATCCCAAACGCTTCTATGTCTCTGTGGATGGGGCTTTGAGGAACCTGAGCTAGTGGAAGATGTCCTTGCCCAGGGCAGGGGCGTTGGACTGGATCATCTTTGAAGGTCCCTTCCAACCCAAACCCTTCTACTGCTCTGTGGACAGGGCTTTGAGGAACCTGAGCTAGTGGAAGACGTCCTTGCCCATGACGAGGCGTTGGACTTGGTCATCTTTGAAGGTCCCAAACCCTTGTGAGATGCTGTGGATGGGGCTTGGAGCAACCTGATTCCGTGGAAGTCCTTGCCCGTGCCGGGGGGTTGGAGTAGATGGTCTCTGAGGTGCCTTCAACTCAAACCGTTCTGTGGTGGTCTAACAGAGTGTGGTTTCTAGGTTGGGAGCTGGTAGAGGATGGACTTCTCGATGCCCAATTATACCTTCAATTACTCCAGCTTGGATGGTGACTACTCCATGTATGATTTTGATGGCTATGAAGTCCCTCACAGCTACCGTGCCATCCTGGCGCTCTACGCCGTCATCTTCCTCCTGGGCGTTTTGGGCAACGGAGCTGTCATCTGGGTGACCGGTTTCGAGCTGCGGCGCACGGTGAACGGCGTCTGGTTCCTCAACCTCTCCATGGCCGACCTCCTCTGCTGCCTGGCCTTGCCCTTCCTGGCCCTGCCGCTGGCCAGTGACCACCACTGGCCGTTGGGTGGCTTCGCCTGCAAGCTGCTGCCCTCCCTCACCATCCTCAACATGTTTGCCAGCGTCCTCCTCCTGATGGTCATCAGCGCCGACCGGTGCGCCTTGGTGATGCGCCCGGTGTGGTGCCAGAACCACCGGACCCTGGGCCTGGCCCGGGGGGCTTGCGCGGCTGCCTGGTTCCTGGCCACCCTCCTCACCCTCCCCTCCTTCATCTTCCGCACCACCCGTTTCGACGTCTTCTCCGAAAAGACCACCTGTGTCCTGGACTACAAGGCCGTGGGGCATCACCAGCACCTCACCGAGCTCGTCACGGCCGTCACCCGCTTCGTCTGCGGCTTCTTGGTGCCCTTCGTGGTGATCACGGTTTGCTACAGCCTGCTCCTGGCCCGTGTCCACACCAAGGGCTTTACGCGCTCCCAGAAAGCCATCAAGCTCATCTTAGTGGTCATCATCAGCTTCTTCGTGTGCTGGCTGCCCTACCACGTCGTGGGGTTGATCCTGGCCTCCACCCCTCCTCACAGCAAAGCTTTCAAGGGTGCCCAGGAAGCTGACCCCGTCGTGGCCGGCATCGCCTACATCAACAGCTGCATCAACCCCATCATCTACGTCGTGGTGGGCCAGGAGTTCAGGGACAAGTTCCAGCGGTCCTGGAGAGCCGTGCTGCGGGGCGTGCTGAGCGATGACCCCACCAGCACCATCGGGGACAGCAGGATGAAGACCAAGTCCACCGTGGATGACCAAAGCGTCAGCACCACGGTGTGACCAGGAGGCTCTGGAGCTGGGACGTCGCCTGTGTTGCTCGGGGCCACCACCTTCTCCTCCTCTCCTGGAGGGCCCGCTGGACCCCGGCGAGAGAAGAAGATGCCTCCATCGCCCCCATTCCCCACCAGTTGTCCCACGTGGTTGCAAAGTGGGGAAGGTGTGTGTCCATCTCCTCCCAACTTCCTCGGTGGCCTGCTGCCCGCCCGAGGACTTTCTCCTTGCATGCCATCCCACCTTCTCCTGCTTCTCCAGCCCAAGCGTGGACCCTATTTCCAGCTCCTCCCCCCTCTCAGTCCCACATCTCCACCACCCAGCGAGGTCCAAGATGCGGGTGAAGCCACCCCCCTCCATCACCCCACAACCTCCAGTCCACCCCGCTGATGGGGGGCTGGTTGACCTTCGCCATCGCCAATAAAGACCGAAGCTCCCTCAAGCCTTGAGCAAGACCCCGGGCTCCTGGTTCTGCTTTTTGGGTGGCTGTTGGGCAAGATTTTTGCTGTCTCGGCAGATTTCCGACCTCGCGGGTGACGCAAGAAGTGCCGCAGCCTGTGTGTGTGTCCCCCTTGTCCCATCCTCGGGGCGGGGGTGGAGAACTCGGCCCCATGGTCTTGCTTCACCACGTGGGGCTGGGAGCTGGTGAGGGGGGGGGTGGCCGAGGTTGGGCTGGTTGTCACCACTCAGGTGCTGCTCAGCCTTGGACAGTTGGGGACAGCGGTGAAGGTTGGGGACAGTGGGGCACCATGGGGATGGATGGAGATGGTTGAGGACAAGGGGGCACAGCAGAGGTGGTTGGGGACAGTTGGGTACCATGGGAGTGGCTGGGGACATTTGGGAACAACAGTGATGCTTGGGGACAGTTGGGGTGGTGGGGACAGTGGGGAACCACGGAGGTGGTTGAGGACAAGGGGACACAGCAGAGATGGCTGGGGACAGTGGGGACAGTTGGGGACAGCAGAAATGGTTGAGGACACTGGGGACAACTGGGGACAGTTGAGGACAGCGGGTACAGCAGAGATGGTTGGGGATGGTTGGGGACAGTTGAGGACATTGGGGACAGTTGGGGCGGTGGGGAGAACTGGGGACAGTGGGGACAATTGGAGAGACTGGGGACAGTGGGGAGCAGTGGGG